ATATATCCTTGACATCGCTAGGCCGTTCGGTCTAGCGCGGCTATCTTATTTATTTATAACTGTCACAGAGCGATGTCTGTGATACTGTATTGATTTTGTTTACCATTAGTTGCTAATGATTTAGCCTAATAAAATTATTTTACTATTTTTACTAGAACTGCTTTATACTTACGTGGTTGTATCTTACAGTAGATCTCCATCAGAAAAAGGGAAGTATAACTATTCTCGTAGAGTAGTATCGCTCACAAAGTTACAAAAGAAATTGTGATAATAACGTAATTATCAAGATTTCGCCATAAAACCTACTTTCCAACATGTGCGTATAATGGAGGGGGCATGTAAGGCATAGAGGATATACCGTAGGATGATTTATATGAAATAGGAGTTACATCTATAAATACTTGAATACTGTATTACAAAGATTACCTACGCAACACTTGATGCAGTTTATCGATATCTTTAATGTAATAGCAGACGTATCAATCAAATTGCATGTATCCACATATCGTTAGTTACAACTTACAAGTCACAAAGTAAAAATCTTATGTGTCTTGTGAAATCGATCTTGGATATAGTGTGTATGCGTATGTTATTCGTTCCGTCTAGCTCACGAAATCGTAGGATGTAATAAGTTACGCGTATGACAGAATTTAGATCTATACAACGTTAGAGTTTATGCTGATAACGTCATAAATTAAATAACCGATAGATATCATATGATTCCTCTCAATGAGAATGAACAATGTGCACAAAGGTATAGAAGCAATAGTAAGGACGAAGCGATGAAGAATTGAAATGTCTAAGCAAGTTCATAGCAATATATTCACACGGGTAAATTAAGTGGGTAATCATCACAAATCATGAACAATATAGCAATGTAGAACTGAACGTAACAATGATACTTTGACACCACGAATGCTATCTATCGCATTCAATTAACGTCCTGAATTAACTTCACTTCAATCGCATTGAAAATTTTGGGTAGTTACCGCTATTTTAGTATGAGTACTCAAAGAAGCGAAGTACAATTAAATTGGTTAGTTACCATGACTCCTCCATATAGGTCTGCTGATTGATTAAAGAATTTATGACCCCTTACTGAGACACCTAGTAAGACATTTCTTGATAAAAGTACGATTAAAACGACAACGAAACATTTCGATACGCTAGCAACCAGCCGTCGCTCTGCTGTTAAGTTCTTTATTGGCCTAATTTTCTTTTCTTGATCTTCATTAATCAATCATCATCTAAAATGGTAAGCCTTGATCGTATTCATTAGTATCAGCATTAACGGTAAATACTATGCTATATAACGTATGAAAGTCGGTTAGAATTTAGAATTCGATTAACAGTTATAGAGAATATTTTTGATTGCGTGAGAAACATACTGAAAAAGTCGTTAAACTTTTACAATAACGAGTGTCTATAACATGTAATATCCGCTATTTACTTTAACTTGATCCCGTAAAAGATACCTTGAAATACTTCAACGTAATTAATGTTCCTGTAGATAATAAATTAAAGTAGCATTTGAAAACGTTTATTGCTGTTAATTACTAAGTAATAGATCTAATCTAATACTGAACTATAACGATTTATCGATTTCAGCGTGAATGTATCTCTATTCATGTTGGTCAAGCTGGTGTTCAGATCGGTAATGCCTGCTGGGAATTATATTGCTTAGAACATGGTATCCAGCCTGATGGTCAAATGCCATCTGATAAAACTATCGGATATGGCGATGACTCTTTCAACACCTTCTTTAGCGAAACTGGCGCTGGCAAACACGTCCCACGTGCAGTTTTCGTTGATTTAGAACCTACCGTTGTAGGTGAGTAAAGAAAGTACAAAGTACACTTAGGATACGCCGTGTATTTATATGTACATTGTATTAACATGCAATATATGCGCACTATTAACGTATTCTATTCTAATTTTATAGATGAAGTTCGTACTGGTACGTACAGACAACTCTTCCACCCTGAACAACTTATCAGTGGTAAAGAAGATGCTGCTAATAACTACGCTCGTGGCCATTACACTGTCGGTAAAGAACTCGTCGATCAAGTACTTGACCGTATCCGTAAATTAGCCGATATGTGTACCGGTCTTCAAGGTTTCCTTATCTTCCACTCTTTCGGTGGTGGTACCGGATCTGGATTCTCTTCTCTTCTTATGGAACGTCTATCAGTCGATTATGGTAAAAAATCAAAATTAGAATTTGCCGTATATCCAGCTCCCCAAATCGCTACGGCCGTAGTCGAGCCATATAACTCGATCTTGACTACTCATACTACTTTGGAACACTCTGACTGCGCTTTCATGGTCGATAACGAAGCTATCTACGATATCTGTCGTCGTAATTTAGATATCGAGCGTCCTACTTACACAAACTTGAATCGTTTGATTGCGCAAATCGTATCATCTATCACCGCATCATTGCGTTTCGACGGTGCCTTGAACGTCGATTTAACAGAATTTCAGACTAACTTGGTACCATACCCACGTATCCATTTCCCGCTTGCTACGTACTCTCCAGTTATCTCGGCCGAGAAAGCTTATCACGAACAACTTACTGTTTCTGAAATTACAAACGCTTGCTACGAGCCCGCTAACCAGATGGTAAAATGTGATCCTCGTCATGGTAAATACATGGCATGTTGTTTACTATACCGTGGCGATGTTGTACCTAAAGATGTTAACGCGGCTATCGCTACTATCAAGACCAAACGTACTATCCAGTTTGTAGATTGGTGTCCAACCGGTTTCAAAGTCGGTATTAACTATCAGCCACCTACTGTCGTTCCAGGAGGCGATTTAGCTAAAGTACAACGTGCAGTATGTATGTTGAGTAATACTACAGCTATCGCCGAAGCATGGGCTCGTTTAGATCATAAATTCGATTTAATGTACGCCAAACGCGCTTTTGTTCATTGGTATGTCGGCGAAGGTATGGAAGAAGGCGAGTTTTCCGAAGCTCGTGAAGATTTGGCAGCATTAGAGAAAGATTACGAAGAAGTGGGTGCCGACTCAGTCGACGATGAAGGCGAAGAAGGAGAAGATGAATACTAACTATTATCATCTTTTAAATAATTCGACTTAAAAGATATTATTTTGGGGGTAGTATATAAAGTCTGAACAGTGTCGCCTTCATAATGTAATGTCTTACATGTCGGAATAAGATATCCTTAAAGTATACCTATATCGACATAATACTCGTATACTACTCTTCATGCGAATTAATATTATTAAAGCCTTTGGTATATTATCGGTCACCTTCAATATACGGTAATTCTTCGTAAAATTAAAACGCTCTATGATTTAGAAATCATAGTCTGGATCGGCTAAGCTCATCGTGATTTGATTCTTAAGACTCTTGAGAATTCTAGTTTTACAACTTAAATATTAGTAATTTCGTTGTTTTATTTATTCTGTATTTATCAATTTCTACTTAAAAAGTAAAATATTCGCATATGCACTATACGATATAAATCACTAAATACGTATACCATCTGACTTGTTTATTATCTATTTTGTTAATATAATCCATTCTATCTTTCATTAATCCATATCAAATAAAATTTTCGCTGATACACGTACTCTAAAAGTCTAATTACATGTTAAATCTGTGAGTGCCTCGATAGAAACTAGAGCTAAGCCTGGTTAAGGACAGAGTTACAAACATCATTACACGTTCAGGTATTCACATACGCTTGTATAACATCACAAACAAGGCGTAAAAGTATTAACTCCACTCTATGTAATATTTTCTTTCAGTAGTTATATCCGAGCACCAAGCTGTACTAATTTATCATATAAAGTAGCGACAAAGTGGAACAAACTTATAATGCGTAACAACTATAGTAATGCAACTCTCTAGCTTATAGGATATTCAAGTTTCGTATCTGATATCACGAGCTTCTCAGCGGCTTTTAGGATAATATAACTGAGAAGTCCTTCCTAATCTACCAGATCTTATACGCATACACATACTACAACATGAGCTACAGAATCCTACGTAGAATTTGTAGTTTATAGCTTTAAGGAAATTTTGAATATAAAGAAAAGTAGCATAAAATACTGGGCAGATTAGCCACTCGATGTTGTAATCATATACTGTATGTTTCTTTCATGGTTGGCATAATTCTGTATCTACAGTGAAAATAGATATACTGTATACAGTATGTACTGTTTGTGCGGCATCGTCGTCTCGACCTTAGATGTACGCATAAAAGTAAAAAGCTCTTTCTATTACCTGTATAGTCTCTTCTACTAGTTCCACTCTCACTTTAGGTACAATAATTTTTGAAGGCCATACAATCAATAGTATAATCGAATTAATCATTTTATGCAGCATACTGCAAATAGTACGGGCCAATACGCGTATTGGCCGGATATTAGGTTTCGGATGTAATTTCATCAATTTCATCAATATCAATAATTCCAATCTGATATTGCCTACTATACAGTACAGTACCGTATGGTAATTATGTAATCAGTCAGGCTAAAGATCTTGCGATCCAAAGGCTTTAAGAGTACGTCAACGTAAATTAGTGAGAAAGATTTATGTTACATCATAAACGCACGCTGAAATAATTATTTTCACATAAGATTACTGGAATTCCTGCCTACTCACAGCAGTATACTGTACGGTACAGTGTCCACGTATATTGGATATACAGTAAAGTATAATTACAATCAACTAGTACTGTATACTATACTGTACATCATAGGAGATTTTTCGTATTTATAGTTCCATGAGGATATAAGAGTAGATCTCGAAAATCAAGACGGTTCACAAGAAGGTGAAGTAACTTCTAGCTGACTAGTGGTTATTGATTTGCCTCACGCTCAAGATTGCATCAATATTAGTACTGTACGTCTGTTTATTCCTTGCTGTTCTGTAACTCCTGTAGCGATAGAGACTGTATCAAGTATACGAGTATTGTAGCACTGTGCCATAAAGTACGTATGCACCATGAACCTGCGTTCAGATAATTTTCTCAAAGATTTTTCGGACGATTTTCAGAACGAAGAGAGACGTTAGCTCGATGTCCTGATCCCCCCTGAAACAAAAGATAACTCGGGCAAATCGTGAGGATCAGGCCAATGAACAAACGTTGCCTCTCATCTGGAAACACTGGGCAGATTTTTCTCTTCGTAACTGCGAGTATTGTACTATCAATGTGTGAGTGTCAATACGGTGCTTGTGCTTATAACAGCTGCAATTCTGTGCGCTAACAGATCAAGATTATGGCTACAG